GATACCCTCTGGTCCATGGTACTCTCTGTTTGGTATCCACAGCAACAGCATCCTCAGCCCCAGAAAAAACAGTTTGCATTCTCAAGAAGAAAGCAAAATGGCTACACATACATTTGTGTAGCGGGGCATAGGATACCCAGAACAAGGACCTGATAGGACTGTATACTCCACAGACAAAAAGGAGCATTACCTATGTCTCACAGCATGTTGTATAACTTCTGGCAATATAAGAACTCCTTTTGCAGTTTACAGATAAGGAAATGAACAAAAACTGGCACCAAGTCACTCAGTGACAGAAGCAGATAGAGAAAGCTTATCCTCTTTGTACTTTTCTATCTCTAAGATAGCATGATAAACATACAGAAACAATAAGACGATTTCCAAACTGAAGAATTCTATCCTGACTGTCAGGGGTATTTTGGTGGTAGCTTTTTTTTTCTCTCCCACCCACAGAGTTCTCTTTTTAAAGAAAAACATAGTACAATTCTTGCTTTGTACATTCAGCACATAAGAAAAGGCAAGCAGAATCATTTGTGCTTGAATTGAACAACATAATGAGAACAAGGTTAAATTCTTCTTTATAGATGAACACTGTAAATCCTAATGGTGCTCTTATATGTAGGTCTCAGTTGTGCTATGCCCATTCTAAGCACTCATATTTCAAAGGCTACAGAAAATCTATCCACTTCAACATGGAGGCTGTTAACCAGAGGGGCAATGTAGTGGCTCTGATTAATACAAAAGCCAAAATATTTTTATTGGTCTAAAATACTTTAGTGTAAGACTTGATGGCTGAATACAAGAAAAGCTTGTAGTTTTAGATATCTCTGCTTTATCTGAAAGAAAGAGATATTTTGGTTTGCTTACCACTTTCTCTGCATCTGAGTCAGCCAGCCTTTGCAGCAGTGCTCTTTGCCGTTCCAATATCTTCTGAGCATCCTTCTACAAAAGAAATACATGAGAAAAATGTTTAACTAAAAAGTCAGTTTCATACAGATTCTTTAGAAGGAACTGGGCAAATCAACCATTTCCCCTCAGTTGCAGCAGCAATTCTCAGAAGATACCCAAATTTCCTAAATACTTCACATATCACGCATCTCAAAGTTTTTCCGCTTCTCAAATATTACAATAAAAAGCATGATGGCAATTTAAGGTCTTTCACAACTCTCTCATTACTCAGCGAAAGTCACATGGAAGAACTCAGTCCCTTTTGTCCAGTCTCACCGGTGGCTGAAAGAACTGTTACCATTGGCCTGCTTTGCTCAAACCGGACATAAACTACAGGAAGAACAGCAATTTCATTTCTGTATTGCTCTTACAAGCAATATCGAATTGTTCTGTACAAGCTGTACAGAATTGTTTACAATTTCTCTGTTATTGCTCTTACAGCCTACAAAAATAAAGTTCTGAACACCCTTAGGCCCCCATTAGCTAAGGCCACATCTAGTCCTCATACTTCAGCCAGTGCAACTGTAGCAATAACATTTCACACTACCATGATAAGCAGATACAGTGGTATCCAGATGAGAAAGAGTTGGCAACACAGTAGTGCCTATATCTTTTAATACAGTCAAAGACTTAGATGCTCTAACACCCTCACAGCAGAAAAGTCAGCCTCACTCTATGATGGAGGCAGGGATAAAAAAACCAAACACTGTCCATTCTTTATGATACAGGGTCAACAACAGGGTTGGGAAAAAACCAAAACAGGATTTAAAAGCTCTCAAACTCAATTTCAGTTCACAAGACAACATAGCCTCCTGTAATGATCCAAGTTCAAGCACACAGCACTGCTCACCTCCCGGTTGTGCTGTTCTCTCAGAAGTTCTCGTAGTGCCTGGTTGGTTTCTTCAAAGGTGCTCAATTTCTGGAGCAGAAGCTCTTTTTGTCTTGTCAGGGCGTTAATGTCTGAGCTGCTCATGTGTTTCTCCTAGAGGAAAAACAAAACAAAAAAAGAAATCAAAATAATTGTTCACATGGAATTAATGTATGAAGCCGATACAAGCATGGAGCAGAGCACTACGTGTGCAGAAGGTAGCTGGATGCTGCATGTAAATACCCCACTTCCAAACAAAACTAGCAAACTCTGTAAGCGTGTTAAATCTCTCCACTTCTCCTTACATTTTTCTGGATCAGCAACTGTAAAATTACATTTTTAAGACAGCCATATAACAGGACAGCGTAGTCAATGCAAGAATAAAAAGGGACAACACCTACAATGTTGAGTCTCCCAATTGTATTTTTCAGTGCATGGATCTGCCTGGCTGCTGCTGCTCCATCTCTTTCTGCCTCGCTCAGCTTGGACATCAAACACTCTTTCTCATGCTGCAAGTACTTTTTCTGTAGCCTGTAATGAGATGTCAGCCATCAGAGAAACAAGAAGCCTTGACAGCTGTCCCAGCCACTATTGATATACAGTTGATTGGGTTAAAACTCATTAAATCAGAGGATAAATGCTCTGAACACTACTTAAGATTTACCCTCTTTCAGTGTAGAAGTTGTTGTGGCAGAAGACAGTAAGTAGATACCAGGAGCTTGCTAGGACCCCTGCTATGAAACAGGAATTTAGAGGGGACAAATTTGGCTTGCACCAAAGCCTGCACACTCTATTAAACCCAAACACAATGCTGTGCTTTTCCTGGGCACTTAAGCCACACCAGAAATAAGACTCCAAATGGCTGAACATAAAATAGGAAAGCACAGCAAGATATACAGCTCAAAGATTTTAGCCATGGCTTGCAATCTCCAAAGTATTCACAAAGTTTCCTGAAAAAGGAACGCACAGTATTGAGTGATCATTCTTAGGAAAAAATAAAACTAACTCTCTTAAAACATTAGTGTCCCCCAGAGACACAAACTTCCCTAATTCTTTAGATACAAAGCAGATGCAAAAACACCAGACTTGGACACCTTTGGGGTCAACAAGAATCATGTGGGGTTTTTTCAGTCTTCTCAGGGGCTATGACTCCTGTCTCAGTATGATTTTCACAAAGGCCAAAAATTCTCCTCTAATTTTCAGCTCCATGTTTATTCATTTGTTGTTCTACCAATATCATCACAATTCAAACAGCATCTCTTAACCTTCAAAATATTAATTGCAGAGCTAGGATGACCCTCCAGTAGGCCACACAAGCCAACCGCTCTCAGGTTCCTCTCAGAATAGTTTTTTCCCATTCCAATAATCACACTAGAGCCCTTCTCTGCAGCTATTGCCATCTGAAGCCCCCCTTCTAAAAGGTGACAAAATATCCAAGAACATCAGTTTTTCAGCAGCACCCAGGGTACAAACTACAACCTCAAATAATGTTAGTGATAAAGCAGGTAGGGCCCTAAATACCATTGCAGTAACAATGGAGAACTGGAGCTTTCTTACACAGTCAGATCTTTCTCTTCCTTTATGCGCTCAATATTGCGCCTGAGCAGTGTATTCTCATGTTCTGTTTCTACCAGCTCTTGTGTGACCTCATTCAGTTCTTCTTTCTGCTCCTCAAGGAGACGCTTTGTCATTTGCTGCTGTTCCTCCTTTTTCTGCAGCTTGGCCTGATGAAGATATTTAAATAGAACTTAAGACAAACCAGGTGCTTTTTGAAGTGATACACAGAATCAAACCAGTGAACTAGCCATTCAACTGCGCCAAACAACAAAGGACTATGCTTTTTTTTCTTCTTCCCCTAGATACTTCCAGGCTGTTCCTGTGCACAAAGGACATAATTCACTTATTGCCTGGAAATAACTCCCATCCTACAAACACAGGCAGACACAAGCATCCTGTCTCTAAGTCACATACCAAAAAAATTGTTATCAGACATGCGACATGTCACAGACCTCAAACGTGACAGGAAAGGAGCTCTGGTAGCAGTTCACATGGCTCCCGTTGCTCCACTGCTGCTTTGAGAGATCCAGGGAACTGGGTGAAATCAACCTAAATAGTCCCTGGCATTTTGTTTCCATCTACCCATTTTGGATTACCCTGGATGTCTGTGGCAGCTCAGTGTCCCTGCTGGTAGTGTGACTGGAATTGCGCACAGACTACTCAAGATCTGAATGGGGCTCAGAAGTTGACTACTGCTCCCCGTGAATGACATGTGCATCCCATTTAGCAGTTAAGAGCACTACAAACAGCTGAAGATATGCAAGAAGAAAGAATATAGAGGGGGGTTGAATTACTGTCAATTAATGTGATCTTACACCATACATTTAAGTGACACCACCAAACATTTAGATTCAATTAACTTATTAAAAGTATTAAAATGGATTTTTGTTTTACAATCATGCAGGTAATTCTATTAAGTTTTGCAGCATGCATAAAATGGGAAATGCTTAATATAAAAATCTACTTGACTCAAATCCTATTCTTGTTCAGTGCAGGTAATTCTATTAAGTTTTGCAGCATAAATAAAATGGGAAATGCTTAATATAAGAATCTACTTGACTCAAATCCTATTCTTGTTCACTGATTTGAACTTCACGTAGTTGTGAGTAAAATAAGAATACAAGGTTTGCTACCCTCAGTGTTAACTCAAAGTTAAAAACAGAGTTTGCCCCCACCATAGAGCATCTTATGAAATCTGGGAATGTCTCCAACCCATTTTTTAAGTGGTGTCAAGTACGTAAGAGGCTATCTGGAAAACACATCATCACCAGGTTGCACATTTTGAAACAGAATCAGAAGAAGCGATCTTGTTAAGTGGATTCTTTGACAATAAAACATCCTCATACTATATTTTTCACCTCAAATGACCAGTTTTCAGATTTGCTGCTTAGGCAGAAGATAGATTATTTGGAAACTGAAGCACAGCAATACCATATTAAATGGATAATGTTTTAAAGTGTTTCATAGTAGGGCTCAGGATGTCACGAGGATAGTTCAGCCCTTCTAAACAACTCTGATTTTTTATTTTTTTTTTTTAAGCAAGCTGCCCAACAGCCTGGGTACTCTTCCAGTGCACCAAGACTTGACTCCAGCCTCCTCTTGCCAAATGATCAGCTACAAAGCTCGAGTCAGCAGGTCTTTACGCTGTCTCCTCACCTCATTCTTCAGCGTTCCCACCACATTCATCAGGCTATCTATTTTCTTTTCATATTCATTCATTTTGCAGTAAACAGCATCCTCCTCATCTGTAGAGAGGTCACTCAGACGCAGTACTGACAGCATTTTTTCTGAATCTGGAGGTGTAATTTCTAGGCGGTGAGTTGGTCCCTGGTAGAAAAGCAATAAAGGGGATCATTTTTTTAGTATAAAGTTATAAACAGTATTCTAACCCTAACTCTGACAAAAACAAATACTAGATCGCATCACTGCAATAAGGCTAGTAAGGAAAAAAAAATGTAAATTTGTAAACAGCTCTTTCATTTCCATCAGGGAAAGGTCAAGAATGCAGAACAACTAGAACAGAAAAAGAAAAAAATGATGAAAGTCCAAATTCTCATCTAGGAAGAGCCAGGAATACAAAAGGCAAACTATCAACCCATGAGAAAGAAAATATTACACAATACTACACAAATACTGCATGCTTTGGAAGAGACTAAGAACAGCAGCCTCTCTCTGTGCCTCCAGACAAGATCTTGAAGGGGACTAATAAAACTACAATAAACAGAGAAATTTGTCTGGCCTCTAGAGGCAGAAAGGCATGATATGGCCATAGGCTGCTAATTAGCTTCCAATCTTTCTATATTGAAAAGTGAAAAATATTTATAGAAGCACTTAAAAAGGATGGTAGGTGACAGTAGCCTTCTTCCAGATCAGGCCAGCTCCCTCACTACACAACTGCTCTCTTCAACCTCAGATAAACCTGAAAGTTTGTTTTAAGGAGCAAAATCAGCCATACCTCCCATTTGCAGGTGGAGTCCCGGACAGATGTTTTGCCTGGGGGTAGCCAGGGGGCCTTAGTTTTCACCCGGACAGCTCGGCACATGTTCACAGCATCCTCTTTCGTTTTCTGTTTGTGCTTTTGCTAAAGAAAGAGAAAATAAAATAAATCACAGACTTTTAAAGAACCATTTACAATTTTTAGTGCTGCAAAACCAAATGAAAGTTCATTCATACAAAAATATCACAGTGTTTCACATGATACATCAGATCAGATGAGCCAGCAGCCATCCGAGGAGGCCAACACCAGCCTGAAAGAAAGGTTGTTGAACATTCAGTATGGCTAGATGTAGTAAATTTTTGTTTATCACGTAGCAACTCTGTTGTATCACTGGTATGCCTGCACTTCTGATGTGACAAGAGCCTTACCCAGCAGGCCAGGGGTGGGAGATTGGGCAGGGGGGACAGAAGTCTTCTCTGTATGGATATACACAAAAAAATACCACAATACAACCCATTCACTTGAAGAAGGAACAACCTGGGACATCCCTTGTCCATTCCAGTCATCTCACAAAAGAGTAGCTATATCATTTGACAACAGCACTACCAGAGAAAAAGGAACAGTGCAGTGCGATTGGTTATTAAAAGCCCCTGAAGGGTTTTCCCTGCTTTGCAGTCAACTAATACATCCACATCTATTTGCATTGAACTTGAGGTGCTCTTACTGAAGGAAAGTCAAAGTGTTTTGCACAATTCTAACCTTAGAAAGAAATCAGATACTCTAATAGACAATTAATTAATAGGAGACATTGATTTCACTGTCAGGGCCTACCCCATTATGATATTTGCCCTTAGCAACAAACACAAAACTAATAGAGGACTTAGAACAGGATGTCTGCACATAAGGAAGAATGAGCTAGCAACTTCCATCGACTTTTGAGAACAACTTTACATAAACATCCAACTACAAAGGAGGACATGAGATAGCTAGAAACTCCACTTCAGTATTGTCTTCTACCTACTGTGGATAATGCTATGAAGAGATCGTCTTTGCCACGTAGCTGAGCAGACTGAGAAGGTGCTTAATGCCAGAAGAATGGATTTTAATAAACACATTTATTTTAATACAGTCAAGATGAAATTTGAAACACCTAGATATTACCTTTCCCTAAACCCTTCCTACAAAACCAGGGATGAAGCCAAAGAAAAACCATTGTCAGGATGCAAATCCAGGAAATAATAAAAGAGAAAAAAAAAATCACCCAAACCACATCACATTGGAAGCAACACTCCTCACAATCACACGCTTGGACATGAAAAGTTAACTATACATTTTATATCATACTTAAATCATCTTAAACACAGAAGACATGTTACTGAAAATTCATCATTGAATACGAATTCAAGTCTAATGCAATGGTAAAACAGATCTCAAAGATTTTGCGGTACTTCTAGGACCATTCACCTTCCTCTTTGTAGCCCTTACAAACACCCAGCTACACACTCCTACCTGGCATTTTGCAGGTGTGGTTTTCTGACCCTTTTTAATATGGACATGGACAGGGGTGTTTTCATCCACATGGACGTGCAAAGGGGGAGATGAGGAACGGTTCTTCATGGCTCTTCTCCCACAAACGGGAAAGGGCAATACAATGAAAGGAAACCTGTGAATAAGGAAACTGGAAATAACAACATTTCCCTCTGTGCTAGAGAGCAACAATGGCCAGCTTTGGTTAAAGTTTGAGCTTTCTTTCAGAAGCATCTGCCATTTTGAATTGCACACTATCTTGCTGTAAAGCTAGGATTAATACAAATAATTTCTCTGCTTCTGGTATTCTCTGCTTTTAATATGGTCATTAACAGACCAAATACAGCTGGATTGATAGCAGACATCTGTAAGAGTCATTGGACTTCAAAGTTTTAGATCAAGCAAGCAAATCAAGGGTTCTAGTAACCAACACAATCTGATTGTGAAGAGAAATTTGAAGGGAGAAGAGGAGTATCAACTTAACAGTTTAGTTAAGAAAAATCAACAGGAAACCATCAGATCTTTCCATCCTAGAACACTGAACCTGTAAACTCTTTCATATGTGCTTAACTTTAAGCGTCTTTTTGAAGTTAAAGAAATGCTTAAAAGCTTTTGGATCATGGCATTTCTTTAATCTTCAGAAAAAAGTATAACCTTAACCAATATCTAACACAAGACTGAAAAGCCTAGAGATGCAAGGTTAAAGTCATCACCTTTGAGCCTGATGCTTCGGTTGAGGTAACGGTGTAATGCAATTGCATATCTTACAAAAAAATCCACCAGCAGCACCAATCTGATTCTGGCAGAAAGGTTTTTGTCAGCCTAACTAAAATTACTTACAGTTATTCTAACGCGTTTAGCTCTTCTGGGTAGTGTGCTCTGTGCAGAGACTGCAGTCACTTCATCGTTGATGGATGAGGAACACCTGATACAGAAATAATAAAATGACCACTAACAGGAACAGGTGCCCCTTTCTGAACATCCTCTTCCTTTCAATTTAAGGCAACATGCAGGCTCAAACACATCAAATGTATGAACCCAAACAACACAAGTTGGTGTGTCCTGGCTTGTGATGTCATGAGGGAAGGACCAAGATTGGAATTCCTTACATATTGATGATGAAAGTTGGTTTAAACATTGGAAACATTTTGTACAGTTACATGATGGCCTTACTCAAACAGTTACAAACCTTCAAATTCTAACTGCAATTTTTAACCAGTTTCATAAGAAAACAAGATTTGAACAGTTCCAGAGTACCTGTACACCCCCTCCCAAAACCCACACCCTCCCTAAATTCTGCCATTATTGACAAATTCTGTAAAATTTGACAGAAATGTTGAGGTTCTAGGTTTATACAGTTGTGCAGGCTGAAGAGATGCATCCAAACTAGTGCTCCTGCTGAAGGAAACCCAGCACCAGACTCGTGTTGCAATGTGGTCACTGCCTGCCCAGCTGATACGTGCGTACAGGTTGGCTGAGCAGCAGCTGGGAGTCAGCTACAGCACAAGCAGCTTCTTGCCTGGTGGTACTTGGAGGACTTGAAGAAATAAGAGCGAGGGAGGAGGGATCTTCAAAGGACTAATGTCTATCAGGGAGTGATGCAGTAGCGGTGGTCTATCAGGCTTAGTTAGCTAACCTTATGGTAATAATGCTTCTCAATTTGCTATGTAAGAACAAGTGTTACAAGTAAAGTGTTACTTGTAATGTGGTAGAGCAGGATTTTGTACAATCTTCTGTAAGACTAGAATTTAGATCACTCTATAGCTCATTGATTTGTCAGCTTGCCAAGGTTCATGTAATAACCTACTCTAAGTAAAACTAATAATACTGCATCTGTTTTTAAGCAGTATGTGTTTGAGACAACACACAGTCATGTATCATGTCAGATTTATGTTAATTACAGAGGGGAAACCAGAGCCGTAGTTCCCTTGACCAGGAACAGGAAGCGACAGTTTTCTGAAGGAACAGGATTTCCCCAGCTTCTAGCTATGAACAGCTTCAAACACCGCTGAGTGTTTTAATCCTCCTCTTTCCAAGGAAGGGTTAAACTCTCCTCAGGACTGTGAGTCGGCTACAGCACCGACTGAGAACTCACACTGAGCTTTTGAATCACCACAAGTGAAACTCAAACGCTGTCACCCAGCTTTCCCTAGCAACAAGGTTTATGTCAGAAGTTTAAGTAACTTCTCCTGCCATCTCTGGAGGCTTTTCAAAGAAGCTGTGGGTACCTCAGGCTGGCAGGACCTCGTCTCGGGTCAGTCTCTGCTCAAAGCAGGATCAGCTCTGAGGTCAGAGCGGGGTTTTACCCAGCCGGAGCTGGAAAACCCCCAGGGGCGGCACTTGCCCCCTCAGCAGCCCGTCCCAACGCCAAGCACGCTTTCCGTTATGTATTTAAATTCGCCTGATAGTTCCCGCTTTCCCTGGCAGCGGCAAGAACCAACCCAAGGCAGGAGGCACTTCTCACCACAGACGTGGCAGGCAAGGCGCCGAAGGAATTATTCCCGGGGGTCGCACATCCCCGCGGCCACACGGCGAGAGGACCCCCGCCCACCCCACCCCTCCCCT